ATCTATTCCTCTGAAATTATGGAAGTTAATCCTAAACCTCACAGCTTTTAAGACAACAGAATGTAACTAGTACTTTTTGATGCAGGGAGGCATGTCATTTGATATATATCATAACTTCAGCCCCCAAACACTGACTAGAATATTCTGGGGGAAGGATTAATGGAATTGATTTATTCATAACTAATGGAATGGAGAATGTTTTTATTTGTCAATGGTAGTTTTCCCTCTCCCTGAGGCCCAGAGGGAACTTATATGTCATTGCCCCAATTGAAAACGTATGACAAAATTTTCGATGTTCTTCTGAATTGTTTACGTTCTCTTTTATTTTTAGTCTACTCTGCTTCAAACTTCTACAGTCAAATTAAACCTTGAGTAGAGAAGAATAACAAACATAGAAGAAAAAAACATAGAAGTAACCTAATGTTTCAAGTATTGAGAGAAGGTTGCAGAGGTGGGATTCTCTTGTACATGTGAACTGCAAAATGTTTTTGTGAGCTGCAAATTTTAAGTAGACATTTCTTGCTGTCTTACACATGCACACACATGTGCGCACACACACACCCTTAAGAAAGAACAGGCTATCTGTCACTAAGGATAAATGCCAGTTCAACTCTATGCAGCAGTTTAGAGTAGTAAAAGAGCTCCACTCCACCCTAGTGTGAGGGTATAATAACCTGTGAAATCTTTAACAAGTTCTGTTATACTTGATATAATTTTAAAAAATTATTTTGGCATATGTTAATCAGTCATAATACTGACTCTGGGGGTGCTTGCTTAACATCTGACATATCCTAATTGGGAATACAACTTCAGGGCTGTTAGCATTTGAAAAAAACTCTAGTCACTTCAGACACTACCACAAAAGCTTTATCTGTAGCTTAACACAGAGACTGTTAATAAGTAAATATTTCCAATGATCAAATTAATGGCGTTAAAGATATGTGGATTGGCCCAAATATTGTAGGGCACCCTAGCCCTTCCAAGAATCTGACAAGCCCAGCAGTTTGGGATTTCTAACTTATTCTTTTAGAAGTGAAACTAAGAATTGACTCGGCTGACTGAATCTGCTAGAATATTGCTGGATTCACTTCTAATAACTCTTCCAGGTAGGATAATGTTGGGTTGCACAGAAGGACAGAATTGGGACTTTTTCAAGCTTACAGGACAGGTTGCATGACTGTTCTAGTGCCTGCTTGCTCATAAACACACATGACAGCACTTGGTCTAAGACCTGATTTCAGTGTAAAGTATCACCTGGTGAGGTTGGGAGACCTATAGCCCTCACACATTTCTATCTACTGAAGGCTACCAAAACATCCTAATATTTGTGAGTGCCCAAACTGGCAAAGGCCAGGTTATAATTTTCTCTAGCGGAGGAAACTCAATACTTTTATAGATATAACAATATTAATCCAGTCATAGTCTACAGTTGAAATAAGCTTGCAAATAGCAGCTTCTAGTTTAACAGGGATGAAAGTCCCTCGTCCTGCTATAAGGTCTGCAAATGACTTCAGAAAGAAGGAAGGTCCTTGTCAGCCAAACACAGGAAGAAGAGAACCACAGAGCTGAGCCACGGGTGGGGACTGTGACATTTCTATTTGATGTTTTTCTATTCTTCTGCCTTTTTGGCTTCTTTCCAGTTGTCCAGCATAGGAGTGTCGCCACTCCTGGGAGTTCAATAAAGGTGAAACACACAGAGCAATGAGCATATTGAACAACTAAATTGAGGGAGAGATGTTAGAGAGAAGTCTGTGCCCACTAAAATTGAGCCAACTGAGATGGAGTGGTTATAATTATTTGGTTGGTTGTCTTTGTAGCTATGGGTAATCTAATGAATATGAGAGTCTGAGCATTTGGATTACCCATAGTAAAGTAAAAAAAAAAAAAAAAATGAGCATATGTACTTGTTTTTGTCAATAAACATTTCTTATGGTTTTATTCCATATACTCTCTTATATCTCTGCTTTAAAAATAATATAAATGTACTCCCCACTCCCCAAAAGCAGATGTGAAGGAAGTAACAGCCAACTGATGCTCAGCATACCCTATGATTGTACAGTAGGGGAGTATGAGCCTGTCTGTCCCCACAGGAGCTCCTGGGAAGAGGGCAAAACAGGAGTCTGGTTCTATTCCTTGAGATGATTCATGTAAGGTACTTGCCCTAGAACCCAATCCATATTACATACTCAATAATGTTACTTGCTATTAGTAGTAATTTTTAAAATAAGAGTAAATACTGGTAATAGTAACATGCATTTTCAATTCTAGCTAAAGCCTAAGCAGCTAAGATTCAGATAAAAAGCTTTTCACATGACAATTATTTGTTATAGTGAAAGGAATCTCTCTAACTTGGACTTGGCTATACGTGAATTCAATCAAACTGAATTTTTCATTTTGCCACTTGGTAATCCCTAAAGAAACTACAGTACTCTCAATACTGGCAAGGACCCTGGACGTTTAGGTTCAATATGCAAAGATAATAGAGCAATAGGCATTTGTCAGTTTTTGAAGAAAAATTACAATTCTCCAATTCCCCATCCATTATCATCTTCTTTAACTCTTACAATTCTGAGAGGTTGCAAATGATACCCCAGACAGGTCGTGACTTGCCTGTTTCAATGGCTAGAAAGGGGTGAAGCTGGGAGTACCTTTTCTTTTGATTCTTGGTAAATGGTCTATCTTCCAAACTCCAGGGAATGAGGCTTAAAGGAAGGCTCTACTGTGAATTTTAGACTACTGTGAAAGAGGTCTTAGGAAATCATTTGCAATAGCAGGACGAAGAAACTATCTTGTCCCTTTAAGTAAACAAGCTCATAGGAAAGTAATGGGGAAACCAGTTCATTGTAGTTTTCAGCACATTTCTTAAGTATCTATTATGCACATGTTACACAGAAGCCTAGCCCAGGTAAGAATTTTCTATTAGATGCCCCAAAGAGCATGGACTTCTTACACCATTGCATGTGGTGTGTAAAGAACATGGTGATCTGCTACTGTAGCAACAATGCACACTCCTGGAGCTTGGGCTGCCTACAAACTAGGCAATAAAGGCTATGCATTTAAGGTAAGCATGCACACCCCCACCAGAAATGCAAAGTTGCAACCATAAGTAGATAAGCGCTCTGGGGATTTATTTCTGTTTCAGAGTGTTTTACTAAACAATTTATGGGAAGAGTATCTAATATCAGCTGCGGATTATATCCCTAAACCCCAATCACTGACCTTTAAGAATCTAACTTCCAAATTTAAATGGCATCGTCAAGTAGTCTAGGCTCCAAATTTAGAGATCAACAGGCTACTTTTGGATGGCAGTTTTTGGTAGAGAGGGCTGGTTGATCAAACCCTTTTAAAACTGCTTTCTATTTAGCCCAGTTTTTAGAGAGAACAGATGGAAGGCACCAGGATAAGCTATTATAGAGCTTATATGACCTGTGTAAAGGGCCAAGAGTTATACCATCTACCAGTATGTTAAAGAAGTATCATAGCTAACACAAAGGCAAGGAAGATAATTGAACTCACTGGCTGCAGGAGAGGTGAGACTACATCCTGAAATTTCTTTTCCATAACTACACTGAGAATTTTAAAAGGTAGACAGTGGGTTCCTCAAAGTATGGAGGGTGCTGAAGACAGGTCACAGGGCTCCTGAGAACCAGTGTTTCCAAATCCCTTTCTCTGGTGCAAATGAAGGCAGCTACTCCCCTGGGTCTATAGAATGCTTTTGTGAAACTAAGTCAACAATTTACTTCCCAGCAGGACCCTACCCTGGAAACCATCCCCAAGGCACTGACATTTTTGAAGCTTTCTAAAGGAGATGATGTACTACCTTATTGTGTCCATAACATCCAGTGTTTATGAAACACTTCCCTGTCAAGCAGAGCTCTGATCACAGCCATCCTCCTACTGGAAAACAAATGCCAGGATTCCTACACTTTCAGTTATACTAACTCAGCGTCGGCCTTCCAAATAATAAAGTTGAATATTTTCTTTGCTACAAAGGGCAGTACTCTCCTACTCTGAGGTAGCACAGTAGCAATGGGTGTCCTTGGAATTTACCCTTTGATCCTTACAGCTACAGACTTTAAAATTGCTCATTACCTAGCTAAAGCATTGAGTTGAAATTTAAGCATCCTTTCTCCCAGAGTTGCTGGTCACTCGGGTAAATGGGGGAGAATATATTTCTGCTGTAGAACTACCGAGATAATTTGATAAAGCATGACAACTAGAAAAAAGAAACAAACACACAAAAAAGAACTAGAGCCAGCACAACATAAATCATAACATATCTTTGGCATCTCATTAGAAATCTGTGCTAACATTCTCCTCTACCATTGAAGTTTAGGTTGGAAATATACACTACTTTATGTATTTTATTGCTTATGTCACTCTTTCTTAAACACTCTTTGTAGTGTTTTCTATACCTTTGACACACCTCTAATCTTCCAGAACACAAAGTAAGATGCTTTCCTTAAGATGTGAGAGAAGTGATGGACATTCATGTGAAACTGCATTCCTTCCACCTCTGTCTGTAATGACCTCATTGCAATTATTACTGTCAATCTCAGGGATGGAAAGTTGGCAAAGGGAGATGAGAAAACTCAAGACAGACATTTACAGACACTAAAGAGTTGCAGGATACCCCAGTAGACAAGTCATTATATTATTTACTTTTTAGCATCTCTTTTGACTCTTGGTGACCAGGTAAAGTAGGGGAGAAGGGATAAAAAACACGTCAGTTTAACATACATGCCACATTGAAGTGCCTCTTCTTTTAAGTTTTCTAAATTTTCACCTGGCTTTTAAAAGCAGAAGTTATTACATGGTGACTTTCCAGCAGGCTTTCCTGAGGTAGATAAAACATGGATGATAAGTAGTCTGAAGAATGCAGAAGGGGAGGTAAAGACTATGTGGCTGGGATTCGTTTGAAAGAAATTTCAGAAGTGAAAGCTGAGCCTGTCATGTACAATACTAGAGAAAAGAGGAACAAGGTTAAAGGCTGTACAACATTTAAAGAAGGTTTTTAGAATTTAATAGGTGCAAAATAGGCTAATCTAGCTAATAAAGAACAGTATTGTAGGAACAGTGACAGAGCAAAAGAAGAGCCTTTGTTACAGACAGCTAGTCAAAAGTAGGCAGAAAACAGAAAGAGATATGTATCCCTCAGGACCTCAGTGTTCAACAAGGAATATATATCATAATAACACGAGGGTTTAAAAGCAACCAACAGGCTTGAAGGTTTCAACTGCCTTTTGTTGCTGTTTTGATGAAGAACAAATTTTGCCTCTTTCCTCAGGCCTCTGTTTGTACACAGGTATTGTAATTGTATTAAGTATGTCAGGGAAATCCAAATCCCAGCTAAAGAATTAGTGAAATAGATTTTGAACTCATTTTTATGCCCGTGTGAATTACAGATGAACAGGCTAGCATGCCTGAGACCCAACGAGGTTAATAGTACCAGCTGGGGCCTTTCTTTCTGGAGAATCACTGCAGTTATCACAGGCAGATGCGGTACTGTTAAATGAAAATGCCATTGTAGGCCAAATGTTAGCAGTTAAACACCATCGTCACAGAAACACACAAAGCTATAGTCAAGTTCACAAACACAGCTGGTGGTTAAGGAACCCTTAATGAAGAAAAGAAATTTGCTATTGGCTTTACGTCATTCATTAGGACTTCCAATACCCTTAGAGTGGGACTGTTCTATATGAGAGACAGTAAAACAACTATTGGCCTTAGTTTCTCTCCCCAATCTAAGAATAAACATTTGTTATAACGCCCATTGGAAAAAGAGAAAAATCACACATAATGCTCTCGTGGGTCGATGTAGACTCTCTTAGGGTCGTTACTTTGATGATGTTTGCTAGGGCTCCGGTCTTGGTAGCACATCTGATTGTAAAGGGGGTACATCTGCTGAATGCCATCTTCCCCAACTGGATTCTCATCTTCATAGTCAAAACTCCTGCTATTTAGTCCATTCTAAAAATTCAAACATTGCTTACATTAGCAGAGCAGCTGTTTGCATTTTTTCTAGCACTGGTAAAAACAGGCACGAATAGAATTCATTACAGTTTAGTGTCCCTGATTCACTACCCCAAAAACTACTGAATGGCAAGATAAGTTCAACAACTTATATTTTCCAGTCATTTGTTGCTTACATTACCCTGAATAAGAATAGTAGTAGCTCCTAGATACAAAATTGTGACTAATGGAGACTGGGATCAGTTTCACATTTTGAAATTTGGAGTTGCTATCAGTTAAGGTAAACTGGAGAAGAACAGGGTTATAAACCTCAGGAGTCTCTAAAGCAAGGCTCAAGCTTGAAATGAACATACGAGGTATATAGAGAATTAAACCAACCAAACAAAAGAAACCTCGACTCAGCTCTGGGGAACTGGGGAAAGGACACAGAAAAATGAACTGGCATTTGAACATATGTCTGATAAAACTGAAAATAAACTCTGCCAAAAATATCGTCTTGTCTTGACCTTTCCTTCTGGCTTGACCTTGCCACAGCTAGCACTTATAAAATGAACCCCCCATGATGTTCTGTGGTGTCTCTGGTACGGATTCTTCTGCCCGTTATTGGTTTCATAAAACTTGATTACTTCTAAGAGTAAAATTCAAGGACTACCAGATCTTAGCAGAGACACTCCAATAGGGGAAAGATGAATAAAATGAACTTGTATAGAATTAAATGATATTTTAATAAGCATGTTAGCTACCAGCTCCACCTGGGCTGATAACCACAACATGGTTACTTACAGAGTGCTGAAGATTGCCAACTTCTTTTTCTTTGAACTGAGTCTGCAAAGGCAAGTGTTCAGGCTGGAAGAAAACACAAAAAGACATGCACTGTAAAACACATGGCAAACATATCAACCACTAAGATTCCTATTTTTAAAAGAGCCAATCATGTCTTGTTATAAATGTCTACCAACTAAGCAAAATGTTCCACATGAGAGTAAGAAAAGCAACCATATTTTTTAACAGTTTCACTCACTCTCTCCTGGCTCTTGACTTCTAGAAAGAAGAAAATATAGGATTGGGCACAGTGGCTCTTACCTGTAATCCTAGCACTTTGAGAGGCCGAGACAGGTGGATAACTTGAGGCCAGAAGTTTGAGACCAGCCTGATCAACATGTGAAACCCCGTCTCCACTAAAAATACAAAAATTAGTTGGGCGTGGGTGTGCACACCTGTAATCCCAGCTATTTGGGAGGCTGAGGCAGGAGAACTGTTTGAACTGGGGAAGCAGAGGTTACAGTGAGCCAAGATGGTGCCACTGCACTCCAGCCTGGGCTACAGAGCAACTGAGACTTGGTCTTAAAAAAAAAGAAAGAGAAAACATAGACAACATCTGCTGCAGAAGTTCTCATGCAAACTGGTTTACATCTTACATGAGGGAGAGGTCACCACAGAAGGTCTCCTGTCTTTTCTCAGTGGAAGAGTCTGATATTTTGAATCAGGTAAAAGTGGTTTGGGGTGGTTAATGAGACATTATTTTTTTGTCTTTATACGTAGATTTAAAGGATATATGATCATCCTTTTCTTGCTTGCTACTCTCCCATTCTTATCCCCACCCTTACCCCACACAGATTATAAAGGGAGTTCATTTTCAAACCTCACCCTAGGTAGAATTTTTTTCAGTTTTCCTCAGCTTACAAACACATGACTCACCCTTCAGACTTCAGTTCAAATATCACCTCTTTCACGAAGCCTTGCACAACACCCTCGAGCAGAGATAGCCACCCTTTTCTGAGCCTTCATAGCATTTATTATCACAACTATAAGTCTACTTGCTTTCCCCTTTTCCAGATAGAGAGTGCTGGCTGAAGTGTTTCACAAGTATTATCTCACCTAATACTTCAACAAGACTAGTATCTTTATTTTACGGATGACTAAAACTGAGGCTTAGTTAAGCAAGTTGTCTCCAGTCACACAACTGGTAAGTGGTAAAGAGTGATTCAAATGTGGCTTTTTCTAATTCCAAATTCTGTATTTTTACATCCCTGCTTTCATTTTAGTGTCAGGAAAATAGATGTTCAGTCAATATAATAAAATAATGCCTGAATCAGATATGCCATATGCAGGCATATCTATCAACAAGCTCTGCATTTCACTATCTTTGCTCATACTGTCCCTTTTGGTTTGGAAGGACAAATTTCTGGGAGTAGAAATTCTACCTAGCCAACATGGGCTGACTAAAGTGATTTTCTTTTTTCACAAGGCTTGTCCACATTCCATCGAAGTTAATCTCTTTACTCCTAGTTTTCCTATTGTTCTTGTTTTTATCTCTATTACAGCACACATCATGACTGTCTTGTTTTATAGTCCCTAATGTTAACTTTCAACTCCAGTAAGTAGTGAGCCTTTCTTAGCCATTGCTAATGGTCTGAATGTTTGTACACTCCCAAAATTCATATGTTGAAACCTAATCGCAATGCGAAAGTACTAAAAGGTAAGGGGCCCTTGGGAGGTGAATAGGGTATAAGGGTGGAGCTGTCATAAATGGGATTAGTGCCCTTATAAGGGATTGAAGAGATCAGAATTCTCCCCTTCCTTCTTATGAAGTTATAGTGAGAAGACAGCCATCTATCAGGAATAAGGCCCTCATCAGACACTAAATCTGCTGATACCTTGATCTTGGACTTCCCAGCCTCCAGAAATATAAGAAATAAATTTCTGTTGTTTGTCAGCTACCTAGTTTACAGTGTTTTGTTACAGAAGCCTGAACAGACTAACATAGTCATCCTCCTCCATCCCTCTACCTTAGTGTGGGTTTGTGCAATAATAAGAATAGTTCACTAATGAATGTACTGGAATCTAAACTATCATCAATTCTTGATATTTATGTCAAGGTTATCTATGTTACAAATATGTGACATGTTCACTCCTCCTGTCAAAGTCAGCATAATTCTACAGTGCTTCCCACATGATGGGGTGATATTAACCAGTAAACACTAGTAGAAGTCTAGGGCAGGGCCAGTCATGGATGGATGGCCAATCACACAGGGCCCCTGGGGTTTAATACTTTTAATACTTTGCAGTTGCCATCTAAGATTTCTTAATAATTTCACCATTAATTTCTGTTGTAAGTGGTCTAACAAGACAAAAAAGCATGCTTCAGGGACTTGTAGGCTAGGCTCACAGGCATCCCTGCCTCCTGCTGTGTGGTTCTTGGCCACTGCTTCCCCATCTTGCTGCCCTAGGTCCTACGTGGCCTCCCTCTCAGTGTCCCCTCTCCAGTGACTGCTGCTGTCCTCGGCCCAGGCAGGTGCCTGGGCATTGGTTCAGGAGCACATGCCCACAGTCATGGTGCATACGGCAGGTGCCTGGAGGCCATGTCCCAGTGAAGATGAGCCTCTCATTCATCCCCTATCTAGGCACCTAATAATGCCATCTTGACAGCCTTAATTTTTGAACATGGGGACCAACATTTTCATTTTTCACTGTGCCTCAGGAATTATGTAGCAGTCCTAGTCAAAGGAAATTAGACTTGGGAAAAAATACCTTATATTAAAATCAGCATTTTCATTTGTTTCTTTGCCGTTTATTATTCTCCATCCATTAATACAGATAATTAAGAAATGAATTCACATCACTCACTGCTGCATCTAACTTGACAAGAGGTGGTGTAATCAGAAGCTTCTCTGTAAAGGGGGTGGGTGTGAATTTTCTAAGCCATGAAAGAGTTAATCTATATTTTAAAAAGTAGTATTTGGATATCTTTAAAAAATCAATTTACAATCTCATTTCCTCCCACTTCAAGTTTCCCTTTATTACAATAATAAAACCTAAAGACATTTGTGTTGATTCTTAGGACAAGTCAGCAGAAGCCATCATAACCCACTACCTCTTTTACCAGCATGAAGGAACCTCTGACAGACAGGCCACAGTCTGCTCATACCATTTTCTTCAGCAGTCCCTCATGTCTAATAGTGTGACTTAATTTCTAAGTCTGACACTTGTAGAAGGAAAAGGCAATTTAAGTGATGTTCTAAGCAACCTTGGCTTCCAAGAAATAAACAGTAGCTACCAAATGGAGGGCAGCCAAAGATTTCTGGTGGTTGTTTCTATTCCTTAACAGTAGTACATTCATGTTGAAAAGTTAAAAAAAAAAAAAAAAAAAAGAAAAGAAAAACAGAACATAGTCGGCAATGTAACAATATTCCTTGCCTATTCCTCGTGGCAGTGTGGGGGAAAGCAGGGGTACAGTCAACACTGAAAGGGAGCATATTCTAGGAACACAGTGTTTATGGCCTCAACAGTTCAAGGGAAGATTTGGTTGGAAGATGTGCTGTTCTATGCTTATATTTAAAATTCCAAATGGTAAATTTAACATGACCGGAAAATAAATGATCATTCACACTTTGCTGGACACCCTGGGTTAAGACCTGCATTTGGTCATTACCTATCAAATGTGGTAACAACTTTCAAGTCTCTGGAAGTCAGTAAGGCAGTGTCATAAGTAACAATATAACAAGTATTAATAGTATTTGGGAACTACATAGATAAATGATCTGTCTATTCTGCTTCAATACAAACAGATTTTAAAGAGCCATAGCTTTATGAGTAATAATAACATTGCTGTCTTTTGCTCATGGTAGAAGATTTTTTTTTAAACAGCCAGAAGTGGTGCATTTGACAATCAAGGACAAGAAGAGAAAGTTCTCAGGCTTGAACAGGAAAAATTGGTGCCTGGACACTACAAACAATCTTCACTTGCACTGATTGGACAATAAGTGAATGGGTAAGTTCCTTTTCTCTACCCCATATTCTGAATCTTCATCATTAAATCATCATAACTTTTGTAATCTAATATTTAATAAAATTGTGTATGCAGACAAGGACCCAACCCACCCTAGAAAAGGCCCTGAATTAGGAAGTGGGCTATGGAAAGCGTTATGTATCTGTTTCTGCACTGTGTGGCTATCTAATCTCTGATAAAAATTAGCCAGGCACACATCACCACGCCTGGCTAATTTTTTAAATTTATTTTTTGTAGAGACAGGGTATTGCTATATTGCCCAGGCTCATCTCAAACTCCTGGTCTCAAATGATCCTCCCACAGTGTTGGGATTATAGGCATGAGGTATATGCTTAGTTTTTAAGAAACTGCCAAACTGTCTCCCAAAGCATCTATACCATTTTGTATTCCCACCAGTAATGAATGAGAGTCTCAGCTGCTCCATGTCCTCAACAGGATTTGGTATTTAAAAAAAAAAAAATTAACAAAATATCTATGTTTGAAAAGTGTCTTAAATAATGCTGTATATATATTTGGTGACTAATATATATATGTACTGAATAAAACTCTAATACTTTAACTGATGGATCACAGCATATGTTATTCTATTATTCTTGTATCTTTTCCTAGGAAGTCTGGGGCTACTCTAAATCTGTAATACGTATTTCAACTTCTCTTTCATGTACTGTCTTACAGCAATTTCTACTGAGTTATAATCCATATTCACTCTCCTGATTTGCTAAAGTCACAGAGGCTTTCATCCCTGGTTTCAAAAGTGTTAACACTAGTTTTTCAGGCTTGTTTTTGACTTTATTTTAAGTTCAGGGGTACATGTGCAGGTTTGTTACATAGGTTAATTGTGTATCATGGGGATCTAATGTACAGATTATTTCATCACCCAGGTAACAAGCATAGTATTCAATAGGTAGGAGTTGATTTTTTGTATAATGTGTAAGGAAGGGGTCCAGTTTTGATTTTCTGTATATGGCTAGCCATTTACCCTAGCACCATTTATTGAATACAGAGTCCTTTCCTCATTGCTTGTTTTTTGTTGACTTCATCAAAGATCAGATGATGT